GCACAGGACAGAGCGGAGTTTAGGGCTGTTGTACATAGGGTCGCTATGAGTCGCAGGCGACTCGACGGCACATAACAACAAACAACAACAATATATTATGCATGGTCATTCTTCATTTTTATACAACCTTCGTATCCATGTATGTGCGGATGTGCATGTATGTGTATTTTCTCAGACCTTTGTGCATGTGTATATATGGATATGCATATGCATAAAAACAACTGTACAGAGTAAAGGTTTGCTAAACAGTAACAACTGCTGATGTTATCAAATTACTTTTGTTTTTATGGGACAACCTTCCTCTGAGAAGTTTAAAGTTAATCTTCCTATCGAGAGCTCTGGTAGCCAACTGAGAAGCTTGGCTGCAATCTCAAAGGCATATGGGTTCAAATCCACTAGCTGCTCCTGTGCGATTTACTGTTTCTGAAACCCTGCTGGAGTGTCAGCTAAGTTGGTCCCAATCTGATGACACAGGGTAATAACAACATGTGTGTATTTGTGTGTGTCCAAGCACATATGTACACAGTGTGCATGTGCATTTGCCTGGGTCTTTGTGTGTTTATGTTTACAGATGAAGTTGTTAGTTGCTGTTGAAATGATTTCTACTCATAGTGCCCCTACCTGTTACACAGTAGAACTGTTCCATGGAGTTTTCTAGGCCGTAACCTTCATGGAAGCGGACATCTAGGTACTACCTTCCATGGTGACTCTAGGTGGGCTTGAACCACCAACTAACCTTTAGGTGAACAGGTGAGAGAAAACTGTTTGCCTCATCTAGAGACATGTGTGTGTGTGTTTGTGTTTGTGTGTGTGTGTGTGTGTGTGTGTTTATGCAAATATACAGATGTATGTTTGGACTATTCTGTATATACACATAGATAATGCATATATATATGTGAATGAATATATACACACACACACACACACACACACACACACACACACACAAACTATTGTCGTTAGGTGCCATCGAGTCAAGTACAACTCCCAGTGACCCTATGAAGTGCCAACCTGAACCCTGCCCTACCCTGTGCCAGCCTCATCATCTCTGACAAACTAGAGCCCATTCTAAAGTTACCATGTCAATCTTTCTCTTTGAGGGTCTTCCTCTCCATCTTTTAAGCATGAGGTCGCTTTCCAAGGAATAGCCTCTGCTAGCTACATGTACAAAGTATGAAAGACAAAGTTTTGCCCCCTTTGCCTCCAACCTGCACACTCTGGCTACACTTCTTCCAAGACATACCTGTTTGGCTATTTTTGGTTGTTGCTATTACATGCTGTCAAGTTGCTTGTGACTCATAGTGACCCTATGTACAACAGCCTTGAATCCTGTTCTATCCTTTGCCAATCTTACTGTTTGTGATACACCCACCCCCCATAACCAAAGTCACTGAACCAATCCATCTCATCCAGCTTCTTCCTCTTTTCACTCTCCCTCCACCCTTCCAAGCATGATGTCCCTCTCCAAAGACTGGTCCCTCCTTGCAACATGCCCAAAGCATGTCAGATGGAACTTCAGAATCCTTGCCTCCAAGGACCTACCTGGCTTCACCCTCTCTAGAATGAACCTGTTTATTCTCTTAGGAGTCCATGATATATTAGTACTCTTCTCCAGCACCACAGCTTAAAGACATCACTTTTCCTCCTGTCATCTCTAGCCATTGTCCAGCTTCCTGATGCATAGCAAGTAATTACAAAGACTATGGGGATTTTTTGTAGTCCATGGAATAGTCAATACTCTTCTTCAGCATCACAACTCAAAGAATCAATTCTTCTGTCATCTTTATTCCTTGTCTTGCTCTTTGATGCATAGCACGTATTGAGAAGATCATGGTCTGAAAAAGGCACACCTTAGTCTTCAAACTGACATCACTGCTCTTCAGCATTTTGGAGAAGTCTCAAAAAGCAGACTTGCCCAATGCAAGACTGCTGGCTTGCTTCCTGACTGCTGGTACCAAGGGTGTTGATCACTGATGCAAGCAAGATGAAGTAATTTATTTGTTCGCTCAAATGGTTCTCAACATACACATATATGTATATATATATGCATTTTCTCAGACTTCTGTACATATACACAAGTGTGAGCTGTGGGCATGTATTCATATTTCTCTGCACATACACATACATTACATATATGTATGATAGTGAGTTTACCCTTCTTTTTCTCATTTTATTGCAGAATACTGCGCATCTTGCCTGGGTGGACATATTGACTGGCTTGCATCTATGATCACTGCTCAAGGTGACCACAGGGGATGAATGGCACCGGGAGAAGAGAACTACAATAGTGTCTGCCCACCCACAGGAAGGGTGTGGCATGCTCACTGAGCAAAGAGCAAAGCTGGCGTATATCTGACCTGCGGGGACGATCACTCTGCGCTCGTTCGTGGTCATGTTTGGGGGTGGAATGTGCTTCTCCTCCATGTAGCTGCCGTAGTTCATGCCCACCGTGTCTGGGCTGCCCACCATCTTCCCACCTTTTGCCACGCTGCATTCGTCAGGAGAGTTTCTGGAGGAAGAGAGGAAGGGAAAGTCTTCTGTTAATGACTGCAGCTGGAGACCATGGCTCGTGGTTTCCCCCAGATGTGCAGAGAGAGCCAGGGAAGGGAAACACGCTGGAAGCCGGAGAAGAGAGCAGGAGAGAGTACCAGGGTGAAAGGGTAAATATGGTCTCCAGGCCCGGTCAAAGCAGAGTAGACAGGTAGGAAACTGCCAACTGGGCCTGATTCTAAACTCTTACTTCCATACCCCATCTGTGCAAACTGACTAGAGACCTCCCAGGGAAGGTGAGCTGCCCTGGGTGTCACTCTGGGGAGGCCAACAGGTGAGCTGGGCACGTGGTCCTCAGAAGAGGCACCGGAGGCACTCAGGGCCCAGCCACATTTATTGCAGAAAAGCCAGTATGTTTCTCCTCAAAAATCTCAAAAAGGAATCCTTGTGCTGCATGTCAAATATCTGCGGCCAATCTCACGCTATAGTGCTCTGAATGGGCACAGTGCCCCTTTTCCAGGTGCAAGGAGGAAGGCAGAGATGGAAGTGGCGCCCTTGGAGCTTCTCTGGAGAAGATTCTAGTAGCCTGGCAGACATCCCTGGGAAAGGGGATGCAACACAAACCTACAGACACAGAAAAGCCTCGGAACAGATCCTCGATAGCAGTTCACAAAATCCTGTCAGTGACACAGCCCCATTCATCACACAAAAGCAAACCTGCCTTTTCTGGAAAAAAAAAAGAAAGAAAGAAATATAAAAGGGGGAGAATGAAGTAAGATTTGAAAGCTAAACAATGTGGTGAGATCGTGTCTAATAGGAAAAATCAAAATAGAAAACCGAGCTGAACCAGAAAAGAGTTAAGTATTTGAATGCTACCTTCTTAGGTGGTTTCAACCCACTGTCATTAGACCTGAGAGGTTCTGATATTCTGGTTCTATCATTTGAGGTATATTTTTGAAAACTGCTGCCCAGGTTCCTGCTTTTATTTTATTTTTTGGTCCAGATTCTGAGGTTCTGTGAAAAGTTACAGGATTTTAGGTTATCTGTCCCAATGGATGGAGCCCTAGAAGATGTGTGATTCTCCCCAATTAACCTGTATCTGTCTCTTGGCTCACTCAGGTAGAGTTTAGCAGTAAATGTGTACAATCAGAGAACTGGAGGCAGCCCGCATGGCCCTGGCCTTCAATGGTGACAACATCAAAACCATCAGAGAAGGATGGGTGGGATGGGGGCTGGAAGTAGGACAGAAAATTTTATCTGAGACCCAAAAGCCTTGGCAGGGGTGTGGACAGGAAGGGCAGGTTGAGGTCCTTTGCCCTGGAAAGAGTTAGTTCAGCGTCTGGAACTTTAAAATACAGCCTTGTTCTCAGCATATTTTCCAAATGTGTCTATAGTGAAGGCTAAGTGTTGACAATAAGGAAGGGGCAGGAACTCTTGTGGCCAAGTGGGGAAAAGTGTTAGGCTGCTAGCTGAAAGGCTGTCAGTTGGAATCCACCAGCTGCTCTGCAGAATGAGGTAGCTGTCTGCTCTCATAAAGAATACAGCCTTGAATACCCAAGGGGGGGGCAGCTCCACTCTGTCCTACAAGGTCAGTGAGTCATAACTGACTATCTGGTCACGGATTTAGTTTTGATTTAGCTAACAGCTGAAAGTTAAGAGTCACTGCCCAGGGTCAAAAGTTAGTTAACTGAAGGTCTTACGACCAGCCTCGAAGACCACACCTCCACAGGGCCGAGCCCTACAGCTGTAATAACATGAAGGGGGTTTAAATATAATAGTGGTCTGCGTTCCCCTGGCGCAGGTCCTTACATTTCCAACACTGTCTACATATGCAGCATTTCCTCTTGATGCTTTTCCTGGCTTCAGACACTTATCTCTAAAAGACCTGCTCAAATATCAAGACCCAGAATGTCTTTACTTGAGACTTTGTTTCCTATTCCCTTGGAAAATTCCATTAGTGAGCAAACTGTGTGAACTGTGAAGGCTGTGGTGTATTTGTCACAAGGAAGAAACTTACTAGCGGAGGAAAGGTTAGAGGCATTTGATCCTTAATAGACAAATTTCTACCTAGGTTATGACTGTAACTTAAGGAAAAATGATAAATTGTAGGATGAGCTTTATTCAGAGTCACTAATTTACCAAAATTCATTAAAGCAGTTTTTATCAACTGTTGGCTATATACAAGGCACCATGCACATTCTTTGTTCTTGAGCATAGAGTTAGTCTTTGAAAGGTTAAAGACCAAAGAGGTACATAATCCACTGGACATCAAGCCTACTGCAATACACAGAGTCCATGCTTGAAGTATCTGAGGATTTACATTTTCACAAAAGTATACTGCTCATCTTTCTCCCATGGAGCAGCTGGTGGATTTGAACCATCTTTTGGTTATCAGCCCAACACATAACACGAAATGCCACAGAACTCCTATCAAGATATGTACAGAATTTTAGAAAAGGTGACCACTAACTGGTGGTTTCATGGTAAAGAACTGCACTACCAACCCAGAGGTGTGTGGTTTGAAACCACCAGCTGCTTTACAGAAGAAAGATGGACAATCTTTTCCCATTCTATCTGCTGCCTCTGAAAACCTGCTGGAAGGTCAGCAATGGGTCAGTTCCAACTCGGTGGTATGCAACAACAAAAACCCAGTGGAAGGTCTGCTATGAGTCCATTCTGATTCAATAACCTATAACAACAGGGCTTAGAACCTTTTAGATCAACTCTTATTTCCTTTAGCCTTTCTGAATTTAATTTCCACATTTGAGCATGACAACTCTAGACAAGAGGTTTTCTGTATCATTAAACTAGTTCCCTGACCGAATCCCAAGATGTGATGACTTATTAAGTTGCTTTTTTGCCAGAGCTTCAAAATCTGTGTGTAAATATTTAAAGTTACGGGTCAAGTTCAGTAAGTTTTCTTTGTATTTATGTAACTACAAAATTTAACTTACAGGGTTTTCTCATCTCAGCTTCCCTTGTCAGAAAAATAGCAAAATGAGACCATCAGACCTTATTTTCAAATCTCCCATCATTAGGCAATGAGAAAAACAGTTTTTAACTCCCCTACATTTTTTTTTTCAGCTTGAGGGGACAATAATATAAAGGCATGCTTTTAAGCATTTGGATAGTGTTTGTTAACATGTGGTAGGAGGCAGTAGATTTGTTAACAATCAGTGAAAATTATTTTATTATGATTATGGTTATAAAATAAACTAATGAATAATAAATTCCAGTTGTTGTTGTTGTTGTTGTTATGTGCCATTGAGTCGTTTGCGACTCAAAGCGACCCTATGTACAACAGCCCTAAACGCCGTTCTATCCTGTGGCAACCTCGCTGTCTCAAACACATTCATTCGCACCACTCCACTCACAGAATTGATCCATCTCATCGAGGGTCTTCCTCTCCTGTGCCGTCCCTGCACTCTCCCAAACATGATGTCCCTCTCCAAGGACCAGTCCCTCCTTGCAACATGCCCAAAGTATGTCAGACAAAGCTTCAGAATCCTTGACTCCAGGGAACATTCTGGTTTCACCCTCTCCAGGACGAACCTGTTTGTTCCCCTAGCAGTCCATGGTATATTGAACACTCTTCTCCAGCACCACAACTCAAAGGCATCAATTCTCTTTCTATCATCCCTATTCACTGTCCAACTCTCCTGTGCATAGCACGTAATTGCAAAGACTATAGCCTGGATCAGGCACACCTTAGTCTCCAGCCTGACATTATTGCTCTTCAGTACTCTTGAGAGGTCCCTCACAGCTGACTTTCCCAATGCAATTCGTCTCCTGATTTCCTGGCTGCTGTTACCAAGAGCCGAGCAAACTAAAATTGTTAACTAACTCAATCTTTTCACCATCCATACTGATGCTGCCAATTGGCCCAGTGGTGAGAATCTTTGTTTTCTTGATATTGAGCTTCAATACATATTGAAGACTGCAGTCCTTGACCTTCTGTAGCAAACACTTCAGGTCCTCCTCAGTTTCAGTGAGCAGGGTTGTGTCATCTGCATAACGCAGGTTGTTGACGATTCTTCCACCAATCCTGATGCCACATTCCTCCTTGTACAGCCCAGCATCTCAGAAGATCTGTTCTGCACACAGATTGAAAAGGTATGGAGACAAAATACATCCCTGATGGACCCATTTCCTGATTTTGAACCATCCAGTGTCTCCCTGCTCTGTTCTGACAACTGCCTCTTAGTCCAAGTATAGGTTTCGCATTAGCACAATCAAATGTTCTGAGATTCCCATTCTTCTCAGAGTCAGCCACAGCTTGTTGTGATCCACACAGTCAAAAGCCTTTGCACAGTCAATGAAGCACAGACAGACATTCTTCTGGTATTCTTTGCTTTCTGCCAAGATCCACCTTACATTAGCTATAATATCCCTAGTACCACAGCCTCTTCTAAATCCAGCCTGCACATCTGGCAGTTCTCTGTTGACATATTGTTCCAAATGTTTTTGGATAATTTTCAGCAGAATCTTGCTTGCATGTGATATCAATGATATTGCTCGATAATTTCCACACTCTGTTGGGTCACCTTTCTTTGGAATGGAAACAAATATGGATCTCTTCCAGTCAGTTGGCCAGCTGGCTGTCCTCTAGATTTCCTGGCACAACCAGTGAGCACATCCAGGGCAGCATCTGTTTGTTACAGTCAACTCCTGGAGCCTTGTTTTTTGCCAATTCCTTCATAGCAACTTGAATTTCCTCCTTCATCACCATAGGTTCTTGCTCATATGTTATTTCATGAAACTCCTCTGTGTCAGCCAATTCCTTCTGATACAGTGACTCTGTGTACCCCTTCCATCTTCTTTTTATACATTTTGGATCATTCAACATTCTACCCAAACTATCCTCAACTATTGCCACCCGTGGCTTGAATTTGTTTTTCAACTCCTTCAGCTTAAGAAATGCTGAGCGAGTCTGGCCCTTTTGATTTTCTGACTCCAGCTCTCTGCACATTTCATTATAGTATCTTGCTTTGTCGTTCCAAGCTGCCTTTTGAAATTTTC